ACAATTTTGAAGTCATCGATGTGCATCGGTTGCGGCCGAGGAGAACAAAGTCATCAGTCTTGAGACTAGAAAATGTAACTTATGACGGTTCGTACGCACCTTTCTGGTTCGGTTGCTTTTTTGGTAATACATTTTTATTTCATATGGGCTGCAAAGAGTAAATTTGATAATAGATAGCTATTTTATCGTCATTTTATGAATATCGCGATGTCTTTACATAAGGCCTAGGGTAAAAACTAAACCCCTTCAATTTTAGAAAACAAGCACGACTTCAAAATATGTAAACAAATGTAACTTTGTAATACAATAAAAGCCTCTTTTTCAACACCTAACTTTCATAAAGTATAATATCACAGCCACTTACTATATTAAAATATGATTTACTGGAGTCTAGGCGACTATGAAAAATCAAGGGAAAACATGTTGGCTTAAGTATAATGATCGCCCTGTTGTGACCGGCACAAGTTGTCGCAACGCTTTCCAGCCGAAAGCCAGTCTGTCTTCCTATATTAACCGAGATTGAGTAATATTCTCGTCCACAGTAGACCCCTTATCTCATCAAATGCCAACCGAAATTCTGAAATTTGTTTTTCGCTTGGAACAATTAACTTGAGCAGCCTAACTTCGAGGTATTTCACTCATGACAAATTGCTGCCTTTGAATTGCTTCCTTACCGATAACCATCAAAAGATATACTCCGTAAAAGAGGGATACTTATTATGTTTATAATTTTTTATTCATGGTCGATTCTCAAATAAATTAAGGGATCTTTTGAACGGAATATGCACAAATGTATGATTATATCACGTTGGCAGAAAACTGCGTATTCTTTACACCTCATCAATGAAAGTATTGTATCTTTTAGTTTAAAAAAAGGTTACTTAATTGGCAAATCACTTTGAACTCCACTAATCGTTACTTTTGAATTCACTGTTTCCAAATTCATTGTTTTTTACATTGTGCCTAGGGATATTCTCAATTCCTCTACGGCATGAGCAGGAGGTCGCGTAATTGTCAGAAGATATTGCTATAAATGTGTATCCTGCTGTAAACCTCCTAGCTACCATTAATAAATTAACAGATACGATGCCTTATGAACGAAGATTTCGCGTTCTTAAAATATCTCCCCAATATGAACTTCTCTGAAATTAAAATTTACTTTTCCTTCCCGTAAAAAATGTGCAGAAGACATATGCTGCAACCCATCTAGTGTGAGCCAAAATTTTCTTATGCATTTTTTAGCCAAAATGTACTTCAGTTAAGTCATCAGGGTCTATTGTTCCTGCATTTTTCCCTCCATTCAAAAACGCGCAGCGATCTTTGCAATCACGACAGTAACTCGTCGACCTTACAAGGAGCTCAAACTACGTGGAACGAGCGTTAAACCAGTGGAGCGTTGCCTGTCCTTGAAATATTTAACACTTACCCTTACCCTGCATCAAACCCAATCTCTTATAGAAGTAAATGCTCCGTGTCAATTTATTGAAACTTCAATCAAGCAACAATGGCTATTATTTTTAATGAGTGAGCCAACTTATTAACATATCCAACAGATTGGTTCCTAAAATACTGAATTATCCAACAAGTTATAAATAGAAATGGAATTCCGTATAGTCAGTTAGACAATAGCTTGCAGTCAAAAATCCTCCGGTATGGAAAAAGACACTACTCGTATATGACGACACCAACCCTTTCTTAGAGCAAACCAAACAATTCGCAAGTACTAACAGGCCTAA